GGCTAGAGAATAAAGAAGACATCCGTACCCGGAGCAAACAAGGTAAGACAAACTGAAGAGCGTCTTTATGTTTATGTAAGATCACGCCTTTTTGGTTTATTAGAGACTATAGGAGAGGGTTTGCCACTTTGGTGTCAGTTTCTTTCTCACAGGTTTCACCCAAAGATGTCAGTTTTAGAAATTAAATGTACTCTGTATGAGTGTCAGAGAGACAGGGAGTTTAAAAGTCCTCAAAACCATTTAGTGTAAATGCATTAGAATTAAAAGAAAGGAAGAAGATAAGAAAGAAAGATAAGAAGGAAGAACTAGGAAGTAAAGTGGTATGAAAAATGATGCACAGCTGGAAATCCTTTACGAAACATCCCTCACAGATGTTGCATAAAACCCATACACTTTCTAATTTGATCTAAAATGTGTCCATGTGTGGCATAAATGTGGATGTGATTAGGTAATACTGACAGTGAACATGGGACTAGCCCTGTTTTGTTTTATCCCATTTGTTCCGTTTTAAAATCTGATCTGTGGGAGAAAATATCTTCTGGTTTGTTTCTAACTGCCTTTTCCCCCCCTGTTGTTTCCTGACAGTAAATTCAGCTTTTGCGATCAGGTTCACCACATGATAAGTGCTGCCAAAGTTTTAACAACTCTTGAAACTTTTTTTCAAACAAACTGTAGTGTTTTATTTGGATTTTATGTAATGCAGAACATAAGAACATACAAAAAATAGTACATAATCATACAGTAGGACAATACAGATGCATCTTTTTTATACATTGTTTCTCTAAATATTTATGTTTAGTCTCTTTTACGTTGATACACTTAACACCCCACCTCACCTTCAGTACACCAAGGATCCCCCTGGACCTTTTTCTTCAGGAGGGTCTGGAAAGCTGGTCAGAGTTGAAGGGACGACAGATTTTGCTCATTTCAGGAAAATTCTGGGGGAAAAACAAAGACTAGTCTTGAGTGGAGGTTCACCTTTCAGTACAAAAATGACCCATGTTAGCCAGAACTACAATAAAATGATTTAAGTCATTGCATGTTCATGTCTTAGAATGCACCTGTCAAAGTCCAGGCAAGAGTTAAACACTAATGTCCATATATTATACCCATTCAATCTGACACATTAGAAGAACGAGGATTTTTTTTTTTTTTTCTGGTTCACAGGTGCTGGTTGTTTTCAGTAAAACGAAACCTTGAAACAAATGAATAATGTCTTTCCACTTCACCACGATGCAGTACTGTCACAGGAGTTTCCAATTAAAAATTATGAAAATTTGGGGTTTTATTGAGATAAAATGTGGAAAAGGTTGATGGGCTTTCAAAAAACCTCTGTTTAAGTGTTAGCTGAAAACCAGTTCTTTGCAATAAACAAGATGACTGCTGAAACGAATCCTCCTGCTGTGACTTCATTGTTTATCGCTCAAAAGCTTGTTTCATGATGAAGTCATACAGTAGGTGGCTCATCATAGCGTATGCCTGAGCAGTCTGCTGAACACCGTGATGTTCGGTATGACATCCAGTTGTTTAGGTTCCAGATGGTGTGTTAGTTTCCATCAACCTCAGGGGCCATGTGTTCAATGATTTATCACACTTCCTGCTTTGATACAGTTGCAGTCGATGCAGCATGCACGAGGCTGTTGGAAAGGGGGCCTGTGGTTTTGTCACGTACTGCTGTGCCGCCCTGCAGGGTTTCAGTGCTGATAGCTGTGGAATGACCGCCCCGTTCTCCTCTCCAGCGCTTCCTTGTCAGTTTTTGACCATCTGTTTCACCCTGAGTCGTTGTTGTGCAAAGAGAATGAATCATGAATCATCCCTGTCCCTTCCACAGCGATCTAACTTTTGAGTGAACTTCAAGCACATTTCACATTAGCGGCACGTAACATGGCCATCCTAGAAGTTGTATCTGTTATCTGTTAACTCCTTATTGACTGAACTCCAACTCTCTTCTCTAGGCCGTCCGCAGGCTCAATGCACACCGAGGCCCCTGCCGACTGTGGGCACCCAAAAGATCATTCAGGGCAACGGGACTAATGTGGGCACAGTCATTTCCCTGCAGTGCCCTGCTAAACACAAGCTGGTGGGCAAAGATTTGACCTGTGTCATGGGCACCAACAGCACCCAATGGGTGGGGGAGACCTTCTGTCAGCGTAAGTAGAAACAGAGAAGTTAAAACAAGGGCCTAATATGGCAGCTGATACAGACAGAAAATGACTAATAGTTACCTAAAGATGCAATCTGCAATAATAGACATGTAATTAAGGCTGCAATTGAAGTTATGTGATGATACAAAAGTTTTTTGGGGACAGGAAACATTAAATTATTTCTGGTGTTGCAACACGTTTGTTGTTTCTGCATTATGCTTAGCATTACTTGTTTTAGGCTGAATTACTAGAGAGAAAGAGACATGAAAGACTCTTTTATATAACACAGAAAATAAAACTTGAAAATGTGCTTTTGGTTTGTTTGCCCAGTTGATAAACTAGCAAAAACACAGTCTGAAAACATGTTTAAACCTGCCAGTCTGCAGCAGTTAAAGAATAACGATGTTTACTTTTGTAACCGGCACAATCTGCAAAGACAGGGTGGTGGTGCATGTCAGATTTTTTTTCATTCTGAAACTGAACATTTGATTTTTCTAAGTGAACAAAACAAATAAAAATGATAAATTGATGCAATCTCTTGTCATTTTGCAGCTTTGGCCCCCTATGAGGACTATGGTTTCCGAGTGGCAGTCCTGGCATCCATTATAAGCTCTGGAATAATCCTGCTCATGTCCGTGGCCTTCATCACCTGCTGTTTGCTTGAATGCACTGAAGAGGATAAACATAAAAAGCAAAGGAGGTAAGATGATTAATGAACATTTTCATCTCGTCTTGCTGTAATAAATGTGTGTAAGTAGTCCACTAAATGCACCGTGGAAAAGGTGAAATGATACAATGTTTTCTTAAAAAAAAAAAAACAACTGATGAGTGTCACATGCATTTAAAATTCAGTGCAATCCAGTGCTGTCAGAAGGCATCTACTTAGGAATAACATGTTAAAGGTTCATCATAACACATGCAGGGGAAACAGCAGAAATTCAGAAGAACGTGTGTCACAACCATTAATGTAACAATGACCAATAATGTGATACCTGCCATTAACAGCATAACTTTAGCAATTTTAACTTTAATAAAGTGACTAATATCATAACAATATTTGGGTAACATAAAGAAAAATCTGTGAAGATATAACAGCTGCAGTTAATAATAATATGATCCTTTAATAGGAGTGAATTTCAAGGAAATAAAACTTTTTTTTTTGTTGCTTTTCTGTGAAGTTTATGCCATAAACATTCATTTAGGAATACTTTCTATACAACAGTCACTCTCCTTAAATATCTTTGAAAGACCCAATATAATAACAGTCTATGATAACAATCTAATATTCTATTATTTTTACATATTATTACATTGTCATCTTTTTTTTTTATCAGTGTTGCATTAATAATGTAATAACAACCCAAATAACATTACTTCTTCCACTAATAGCAAAATATTATTTCTTTACTTTATTTTACTGTACTCAAAAATATTTACATTACTGACTTGAGTACATTGAAATAAGAATTAGGTTATTGTTTGCTCTTAAATGACTGCTTACCAGATGCCGTAGTTAGATGAGACCAAACTAACTGCATATAGTTAGTTTGAATATTTGAATGCATCTTACACATCATCCTACATAAACCACTCCCACTGTGAAGCTTGGTGGTGGAAGTATCTTGTCATAGGTATGTGTTTTTGTTACTGTAAGACATAATACTCATGTATTAGAATGGCCCAGACAAAGTCCAAAATTTCTGCAAGTCCAACCTCGATGTTCCCTGCGTCTGATCTAACTACCAGGGTCTTGTTTACAAGATTAAAGCTAAAGTTCTCACGTTTAAGTCTCAATTCATTTTTGATGCCAGAGAGGGTGATGGTCTTCCATGGGAGGGTCAGGACCAGCACCAGGAGGACACCAGGTCTCATTACAGTCATAAAGGCCAGAACAACAACAACAATAACGCAGAGGAGAAGATGCTGCCTTTGTGGGAACCAGCAAACAGCATTCCACCCTGCAGGTAAAGGCACATTTCTAGCAAAAATAAATAAAAATCAACCCTAATTTGCTTGGCATCATCAAAGAAACATAAGGATCTCCTCCTTCACAGGTGTCAGCAGCAGTACACCCACAGACCCCTTCCGCTTTCACTTGCAGCTCTTCCTGGACAGGACTATGATCAGCCTCTCTTACACGAAAACCCGCCGACTCGTCCTCCTGAGTACCCAGGACCTCCTCTCTCTTTTTGTCCAGCTGCCAACTCCGGGCTGGTTCACTTCTCAGCGGCGGGGTCAGGACTGGTGTGGCAGTATGGAGGACAACACTGTGATATAGCTGAAGCTAACCCATCAGTCACGAGGAATACAAACACAAACGGCAATATAATCCCCAAAGAAGTTTCCATCAGGATCATATCAGTGTGAGAATGTTTTCCTGACAGAGCCATTATGAGATCTTGGGTGATGTTCACTCATGTTTAGCACTGTCAGCTCAGATTTTGAGTGAAATCATTTCATCATGTAATGTGAAAAAAAAATTACAATCCAGATGTCTGTGGTGCTATGGTCGTTTACAAACATTGGGTTCTGAAAGGTATTCAGCAAATCAAACTGCGATGGCACACTGTCCCCTGGTGGAAACTTGGTGCTAATGCGCTTTAAATACACCTGTCATGTTGTAAATGCAAACTCCTGACACTGAAGAATCTTCCTACCCTTGTTTGTAAGGTTGAAGGTATGCTTACTGGAAAAAAAAAAAAAGTGTCAATATACTGGAATCAGTTTGCAAGTCTTCTGATTTGTAATGGATGCAGCCAACATGTAGATAATTCTAATAAATTAAATACTTTTAAGAAGGAGTGGTGCGCTTCAGTTTGTGGGGTTTTGATGGTATATCAGATTAACTGTCTCGGAGCCCGGGTGAGTCCGTGTTTGCAGCTGAAAGCTGCTGCCTCCCTGCTGTTTGTCTGGGTGTAATCTACCGTTATCCTGCCGTGGAGGTCGGTCAGGTCGTGGTGAGCGACAGAGACAGTCTCTCCTAGGAATTTAAAGTGAAACCCACATGCCGTTTGCTTGGCATGGCACAACTGACAATCAAAGGTAAGACGCTTGGACATGTGTTTACTTTTTATTAGGCGATTTTTATCCGCACTTAGCATGATCAAACTAGTTGATCACTTGTTGAGCTGTGTTGCAGGAATGTAATTGTAAAAGGAGAACATGTTAGCAGTAATATCTTTTTTTTTACTGTTTAAAAATGGTTCTGAAATGCATTTTTATGAATTCCTATAAAAAAATTATTTGATATTTTGCCTATAAGAATAGACAGACAGACAAACAGATAGATAGATAGATAGATAGATAGATAGATAGATAGATAGATAGATAGATAGATAGATAGATAGATAGATAGATAGATAGATAGATAGATAGATAGATAGATAGATAGATAGATAGAGAGATAGATAGATAGATAGATAGATAGATAGATAGATAGATAGATAGATAGATAGATAGATAGATAGATAGATAGATAGATAGATAGATAGATAGATAGATAGATAGATAGATAGATAGATAGATAGATAGATAGATAGATAGATAGATAGATAGATAGATAGATAGATAGATAGATAGATAGATAGATAGATAGATAGGTGAAACAACAGCTATATTTGTTGCATCTGTATTCACTTTGCTAAATGTGGTAATAAACCTCTTAGCAATTTATTTCCAGAGCAGGGATAATGTCAGACCAGATTAACTATTTAAGTTGAGACATAAAATCTGCATTATCCAGTTAGCTGCACGCTATCAATGGATGGGAATCTAGTATTTTTAGTTTAGAGCAGTAGTTCTCAAGCATTCACACTGTAGACCACTAATATGACAGGCTCTTGCAATAAAGTGTACAAGTTACTAAATACTGCTAACATTAAAAGGAACTTGTCATGTAAATTTGGATAGATCCATGGGTTTATAGGTAACAGGGCAGTGCCCGTCGATTGTGACTTAATAATCTGGAGATTTTTGAAACGGCTCAATTTGTTTGTATCTGAAAACAGCTTCTATCATTTCTGGGAGCTGTAGAGACCCACATAGAAGTACAAAAACCTGCAAATGGAATTTTGCAAAACAGGTCCTTCATAGGAAGTAAGCCCATAAGAACAGTGTTTTTTCACTTTTTTCATAAGTGTTGTGTTACACAACCCCTTCAAATAAAAGTAAATGCTGGTTGCCACATGTCCTAAAAATAGCTAAATCTTAATTTGACATTTTTAATGTAAGGAAGTGGCTTAGAATTAGTCACTATTGTAGAAATAACCTTGAACAAAATGATGAAAGAGGAGAAGCACAGGGCTTAGTTCCTGAATTACAGACTGGAACTGAGCTTTGTAAACCCGTTGAAGCACAAAGTTAGCCTTGATTTGCTTCCTTCTGTCAGAGATGTGAAAGACACATAGCTGTAGCCTCAGCTGTTTCACTGAGACACAAGTCCTGGGAAATGTTTCGAACAACAAAAATGCCTAAAGATTCATCTTAAAAGAATACAAGAACATCAAAAGATTAAGAAGAATAAGAAAAGACAATGAGCCAAAGTGCAACCAGTGGTAAAGAACTTGACAACTGGGTTGTGGGGCGATGGAATTTCATTTTGAATAAATTATATTTATTGATGTTTTCTTAATCTGTGCTGTACAGACGCGGAATGCTATAAAGAGCAGCTCCAGAGTGACGCTCAGTTTCTGTGCTCTAACCAGAGGATGGACACTGAACTGGTTGACAGTCTGGTGCTGCAACTCAACAGGATCTACCCCCAGATACTCAGTGACAAGGAAGCCTGCAAGGTCATTATATTTATCGTTGAGCACACATAAATATTCAGAGGTCTTTGCTCTTAACTTGCAAATTACAACTGTTTAGGTTTTTTATGATTCATCTGGTTTTAGGCAAATACATTTGAAAAAACACTGATGGTATTTGAATCACTTTGGTGGCCAACTAGTGATTCAAATCTTGCAGATGACAAAAACAGATATAATACTCAGGTATTTCAAAACCTCCATTCTTGTACACTTTTCTAGGTACAACACCAGTAAAGCAAAGTAAAAAGCCGGTAGCATCACAAATCTTCCATCTTACAATGAGCTTTAGGTACTTTTCTGCACTTTTTGCAAGTAATTTCTCTAATTTGTTGTTTATATCATCTGCACCTACCTGTGCCCAACACTTGGGTCCTTCCTTATATATGCCATTATGACAGAAAAGCTCAATCTTTGTCAGTTTAGAAAAATTTTAATGATAAGACAAAAGAGGCTTTTTCCTGGTACACCAATCGATCAACAACTAGGTATGTGGCGAGCTTCTGATGTTAGTTACAGAGGTTTGGTGACCATGAAGAGGCATTCAGAAACAATACTTCCATAATACATTAACACAGAAGTAGCAGACATATTTATTTTTGACTCCAAAGAAAGACATTATCAACAGTGCAAAGGTTCTGCCATCTCAAAGAGGTCACAGATATTTCCTCTGTACATTTGTCTGTCTCTCTGCAGTTCAGAAGCCTGAGAGTCCCCACTACAGAGCGGCTATGTGAACTGCTGCAGTACCTGCATGAGAAAGGAGACGATGCATGCTATGAGTTCTACAGAGCCCTTCACATCCAAGCGGAGGACGTTTACTTCAGTCTGCCCACTAGAATTAGACAAAGAGGTACAGCACTGAGCTGGAGTGAGAATCCTTCTCAAAGTTGTGGCTTTATCAAATCAGACACTGCATTTTTCATAAGATATAAAATGGAGCAGAAATGTTGCAGCAGATTGAGTCTGTGACATCAGTTTCCTGACAAAGCCTAGTGTCCTGTGTGTCATGGTGATGTGTTCAGACACATCATCTTGTGACTTTTAAAGACTGACTGTTTAAAAAGAAATGCTTGTCTGCTATAGTAAGGTCCATATTTATTTCTGTAGGCTGACCGTGTTTAAGATACACACCAGTCAAAGAGCTGTCGTCTGCAGCTTGAAGTTTTTAGATGAAGTGTGGCTGGTGCTGCTTAACCTTTATGATTCTTTGTTTCAGAGATGACCGACTCAATCAATGTGGCTGACATCCCAGAGCGACATGTGCTTAACGACAGAGGTGACTCCAGTTACCAGCTTTGTGCTAATTATAAGAGATGTTTTATACAGAATCATGCATCAGAACCCTGAACTTTTACACTTTTGTTACATTGCAACCACAAACTACAACATACTTCACACAAGTATACAGCTGGCAGTTTTATACCTAACCTGTTGCAAAACAATGTCCCAATTTTTTAACATTTCATGGAAAACTGTTAATTCACCTGCCAGTTTGCTAAGACATAGCTGCAATCTGGCAAGATGGACAAGGAAAGCATTCCTCAAAAAATGTAGCTAAGAAGCTAATAACTCTGGAGGAACCGCAGAGGTTGGGGAATTGACACTTACGTTATTAGTCATGCACGTCAAAATCTGACCTTTAATAAAATCTAGCAGGATAAAGACATTTTTACAGAAACCATTCAGACTCTATCTATCCAGTCTCACCTATTTTACAAAAAAAAAAAAACAATTTAACTTCCATTCTCATTATCTGGAAAGCTAGTAGACATACCTGAAATGACCTGCAGTCATCACTGTAGTGAACACCACATGTTTAAGATTTGTTTTTCAAAAGGCGGAAATTCATGTATGCTGCTTTCTGTCACTTTATAAATTTGCACTACTTGACACACAAAATCTCAAATGGACCAAAGTTTGTCTTTGTAACTTTACAAAATGAGACGTTCTGGGGTGTAAATACTCTTACAAAGCTTTACATCCTGATTAATACTTTAAATCTGTCTTTGTACTCCTGCTGGGGAATAAAAGTCAGCTACTTGCCTGATGGCATGTTTCATTAATGTAATGTCCTTACAGTTTGTGTTGGTGTGGATTCTGCTTCACTTCACTGATGCATACTTAAGCTCTGTAAGCTCCTGAACCCTTTAACCCCTGAAGTATTAGAATGTGGGGCCCATTGCACTATTCTGCCCCACCATTCATCATCCTATTACATCCAGGGCTCTGGTTTTATGGGTGAGTTAAGTTCATATTTAAAGAGGGCTTCCTCTGCCCTGCATTGTTTCAGTCATCATAAACAGTTCAAATGTGGCTCTGAAAACAATGATGGTGCACTCCCACCTTGTGATATTTTTACCCTTGTAATTAAAATATATTTTTGTAAAAGCTGAGTAATTATTTTTTTCTTTCGTTTGTGAAGGACCAATTTTCTTTCTGAGTTGTTTCAGCGTTGCAGTTGCCATTGCATTTCTCTATTATTACGGAGGTGAGTCATGCAACATGAAAACTTATTTCCACTCACTTTATGTATATGTCTATAACTTTTTTCTCCCCTTTTTCTGCTAACAGAGGGTCAGAGACTCAGATGCACGGAAGCATTCCTTCACTGCTCTGCGGTGAGACTTGGTAAAGACGCCAAGGACGTGTTCGTTTCCTATGTGGAGGTCGGGAAGCAGAAATAACAGGACTGAAATATTTCAAAAGAACAAGCTGTGCTACTTTACTCTACTGTGCCAAATCAGTTTCACATCTCCCTCCATAGAGAACTTTTGCGTCGTTTCTGCATGTAGTCATATTTTAAAAAAGAGGCACTGAATTTCCTCCAAAAGCCCAGCTGTCACCAAAATAGATGTTACATTCATTTGTGAGGTGGCTGTGCACTTCTTGATATTGACAGCACATTGATTGACACTGATAATATTGACTCTAGCTGATATATGGCTGCTGTTTTCTGAAATGCATTGCTTTGGTTTTTAACAGAAAACAAAAGGTCAACCTTTGATCAATGGATGTTTTTTTTTCTATTTCTGCTTAACTCTTGGTCTTATCATATGCATCTTTGTTCTGCTCATTGCCTATGTCCAATGTTATGGTGCTGCTCTTGTCTCAGTATAGAAAACTGCTTCAGAAGCTTGGTAATTTACTTGAGAAGCAACAATAAGCCAATATTACCTTTGACTTGATCAGAGATCAGCGGGTTAAGTACCTGAGAAAAAAAAAGCATTCTCATTAAAATAATCAAATCTAAGAACTTTCATAATTTTCTGGATCGCATCAACCAACAGCATGTCCCTTGATAATTTTTTAAACATTTTAAACATTTTAATAAAAATCAGAGGTTGTGAACATGTCATTCAAAACTACTACTAGCTTGCAGCACCTCTGTAGTTTTTTTGTTCAGCACATCAGAGGTCACAGAAAATCAGAAAAATAATGGATAGGAAATGAACGATCACTGCATCTCTAGGTCTTTCAAAAGACTTTTAGATTTCTTATTTGTGCACAACTATTAAATGCCATTTTTAGTTTAAACATAGCATAACTATATCAACATGCAGCTGCACATCTTCAGAACTGTTTTTAGTTCTTCTCATTCAACAGTGCCAAACTCCAGTGCTCCTGAAGGGCTCTGCATCTTCAAGAGCTTTCCTTTCAGATGTTAATTTCCAATCTTAAAAGTTGAAGACACCCATCAACCTCATTGGGCAGGAGTTTGACATCCATGCTGAATTTATTTCATTTAGACTCATACTACCAGATTGTTTGGTTGTTTGTCAGTGTGAACATGCTTTGCTTGAGTTGCACTAGTTTTTATAGCACATTTCTGTTAACATTTTCTACAACACGTTTCCTAATGCAGGATTCGGGTTAGTTAAAACAACACGTTTTCTTGAATACACAATATCTTGCCTGTTAATAGTAGTGCCTTCTAATGATGTTGGAACATAGCATAATTTATTTCCTAATTAAAATTAGGAAATAAAGTAAAAAGAAATAACACCGTTGATTCTTTTTATGTATATATTTATTTATTAGCAATTACATAACTCTCTGTACAAAGCCTAATACCAGTGTGACACTTCAGGAGGCTACGGTTACGCATATTTCCACTAGAGGGCGCTCCTTTTTCATTCATAATCTTGTGAGACAATGTTCTTGTCTTCCATATTGATGACAATAAAAAGCAGCAAACAGCGCTCATAAATTAATAATGACAAAGTGGAGGAGTAAAGTTGAGTTAATGTAAGGTAGCATTAAATACATTCCCTTGCACACACAGAGAGTTTTGTGTGCATGACACAAGCACGTAAAGCTGGATTTAAACATTTGCAAATACATTTTGCAGAAATATTGCTACTCCAGGGGAGTGGAAGGACCCACACACCTATAATCTTAAAATATTTGTTCTCTCTTTTCTGCAAAGGGAGACAGAAACGTAAACATAGCAGGAAATTGTATTAAATTATTAGGAACTGTTGAGTATATTCATTTCAAAGAGTGACGTTGGTTTTTCTGGTTCACAAAAGTTAAAACTTTTCACCATTTAACATCATCCTGACTGTTAATCTATTAAACTTATTGTTTAACGGTGGTGGCAGAAACATCATGGAAGTCTATTTCTCTACAAGCAGTGTTGATGTGTTGCTTAAAATGAATTGTAGTTAATTCAGTTCAGTTCCTTTATTGTCCACAGAGGGGGAAATTTGGTCTGTAGCCAGGAACTTCAAACATAGAAACAAGCTTCTATGCACCACAAATCTGGAACAAACTTCCATAAAACTGCAAAACAGCTGAAATGCGGAGTTCCTTTAGATCTAGCTCTAAAAACCCACCTGTTTAGAGCCGCTTTTGAAACCTAATCCTGAAACATTAATCAATAATCTCCTGTGCAAAATGTAATGCTATTGACTGTGTGTTCTATGAATTTGTATTTGTGGTTTTATGATGTAAAGCCCTTTGAAATGCCTTGTTGCTGGAAGGTGCTATACAAATAAAATTTGATTGATTGAAAATTGCATAAAAATGGAATCGTAAAGACAGAGGACTGCCTCTAAATTTTTCCGCTTCTCCACAAATCAACAGATAGATGCTGACACTTGGGAGTAGTTTAGTGTTTGAAGAGAAAAATAACACCATCAATAAATGTAAATTGTTCTTGGAAATATTAAGAGCCCCAATAGGAAACCAGGCAATTTAAACAGGCATTATTTGGTCTGATAAGACTTATGGTCAAATGATCTACCAATAATGATGTAGGAAACATGAAAAATGGATTCTTCTTCTCTGTTTCAGTCACTTCAGTACATAAAATGGACTCTGACTTGATCACTTATAGTGGTGTTGGTGACACAGATGAAACAACCTAATTAGAGCCTCCACTTTAACGAGCAGTTCTGCTGGGCTCTGATTCGTGTTGATTGTGACTCACCAGCTGCTGCCAGCCCAGAGAACCACACACACAGTCCATCTTTGATTGTAGCAGATGGATTCTGGTTAAAGCCAAACATTTGTTTCGACTGAATATTTTGGCCAAATGACTTTGGGACAACATATTGGTGAAGGTGAGTCTGAGTTTTGATGCATATCAGACACACCCTGCACAGATGTATTTATTTTATTGATCATACTTTGGGATCTGAGCCATAAACTCAACTCAAATTGAAATCTGTTCAGTTTTTGGGTTTGAGAGGGTTCATCGGCTCTGCGTGGGTCACTGCAGGACAGCTGAGGAGACAGACAGAGAACAGTCACATGTACCTAACTGTTGTTGTGTCCACTTTTCTGTTGGTCCACCAGCAACAAATATGTTGTTGATGCACCAGCCCACCTTTGCCACCATGGTTGTTTCTGTTTGGTTCGCTGTTCTCTCGCTGTGCTTGCAGCAGGGCAGGACAATGATTTTCTGGTAAATGACCAGTGGCTGAATTTTGTTTCAGTTTGTTGGTGGAAACTTCCACAGTAGTCTGGAGGGATCAATATGTACTTAGGTCAGGTAGATTAGCGGAAGTTAGTTCAGAGGAGCAGAAGACCAAAGGTATGCTGACGATTTGAGTGTAATGATGACAGAGGCTGAAAGTGATGATAATGTGATCAAACAAACATACTTATGTGTTCTTGGTCAGCTGCTGTGGTTTGGTTGATGGACTCCCAGGGCACTGATAAAGATGTTGACAACCACGATGATAAAAACCAGGCCTGTAGCCAGGTTCTCTATTAAGTTGAGCCTCCAGTGTTTTTGCTCATCATCGAGATTCCATCGTACTGCAGACAAAGTCAGGACACAGAAACACTCACAAGCTACTTATTCAGGGAGGAAAGCCAAGTCTTTAGGAGAATTTACTGTAAGTCATAAATAAATTGTTGCTTCTGTTTTAGCACTCTATGGACTTTCTGTCTTTAAATGACAACAAAATGACTAATGATTAAAGTTTTATTTATATCTGAGAAAAATAATAGACCGTCCCTGAACTCAAACCAAAATAAAATGTCAAACTTGACTTTTACGTAATTTTTCTATCACTTCTTGTTTCAGTTTTTGCTGGATATTTCATCTGGCCCGCAATAGCCTTTAAAGACAGGTGAATATGACAAGGTTCATTTTGCATTTAGCTCTACAATTTTAAAAACTTGCTCAACGTGCAGAAGTCGTAATTGAAAAGCTAAATACAGGTTAGGATCCAACAGCTTGCAGAACCACTTTCACCAGTAAGAACTTGAATTGTCTTCAGCAGGATCTTATCTGTCTTACATTGGCAGGGAGGAATTCTTGGCCCATCTTCTTTAGAAAGTTATTTAGTTCAGTAGTTTTAGATAAAGACTAAAACTGTTTATGCACAGTGTTAGTCATTCTAATTTGGACACCCTGGTTCTATTGTTTTATCTATTTTGTGATGTCACAACAACTGTAGCGTATGATATTAATGATATTTAAAAAGATTCTGCAAACTCAGTTGCTGAATCAACCTCTCTGTGTTTGCATCCACACCATAACAACCACAAATCATCATGACAGCAGTCAGCTCTGAGCATCTCGGGATATAGTTTTTTTATCCATTCTTCTTTGCAACATGGTTCAATTTTAGTCAGATTGGATGGTTTGTTTCTCAATTGGATGTAGATCTGTGATTTGACTTGATCCAAGCATTTCTGTTGTAGCTCTGGCTGCATGTTTAAGGTCATTACCCAAGTGCCAGGTGAGTGTTTGCTTTGCCCTCAAATGTTCTTTGAAGCCTCTGAAAAGTTTTCTTTCAGGACTGCGTCATACCAAGGTAACATCAACTATATGCTCAGTGTGATGTGCAGAGTTAGTTTCCCTTATTTTTAATTTTGTCGGTAGGCAAATCCTGATCTCTTCTCCCCAGAAGACTTACTGGGACGTGTTAGTTGGAGGCCTCAGACTAAAGTGTATGTAATGCAATGTAATGTTCGCAATGCAGCTATTAAGATACTCTTTGTACATTTAGCTGAGGCAGAACCATGGACCCAAATGTGTCAATCGTCCAAATAAAACAAGATTCACTTTTATGGTGCACTGGCAAAACAATACAGAGGAACAACAGAAGCCTGCCATGGGAAGCTTGTATTTCCTTTCTCATAAATATCCTTTCATAGTTGTTTTTGAGGACCTTGAATGAGCCTGTAAAACTTAAACTATGTTACAATAACATAACAGGACTGTTATCTTTCTCTTCACAGGGGACGGCTCGTGAATAATGCTCAAATTAATGAGTGTTGCCAGAAATTAATCTGCCCATAGATAAAGACTGAGTGAGCATGCATTTGTAATATGTTACTGACCGTCAAAGGTCAAGCGGTGCACAAACCCTGCTTGACTGTGTTCTGTCTGATGCAACTGGGAGGGGGCAGAGAGGGGCAGAGAGGGGCTGTGGGAGCGGTATGTAGGCCACTCAGATCATGCCCTGCTGGCTCTATTAGTCTGGCTTTACACATGGGTAAAAGAGGGGAAGGATGGAAAGGGGCGGCATTCCAGGATTTAGAATAATTAAAGTAAAAGGGAAAAGAAAAGACATATAATGTAACAAGAAAAGATGTAGGAGATCCAAATGGGCAAACATGAGGATCAAAGGGTCAAAAAACATCTGATAATTCTCATGTACCAACATTTTTCCTATTTAGACTCCAGTTTTACGATATAAATCAGCCACTTTAAATGTTGAGCAAATTCTACACCTAAAAATAAAGTATAGTGTCTGAGGTTTGCAGAAATTCAATAAAAGAGTCAACTGCATCTGCCCTACTACTATTTTTAGGTCAACACAGATTCAGAGGGAGGCAGATAAAGTAGTTTTTCTTTTATGGAAAATGACAGCATGCCTCCCTTTATGAGCTCATTCTGGTGGAGCTGAGGTGATTCAGTGTGACCTCATGAAAGTTCATCAACCTGCAGTTTGATTTGGTGGAGTCTGCCGAGTCTAACCTGTAATCCAATGACTTTTCTTTATTCTATCTAACCTATAAATGGTGACTATTGAATTGTGGTTGTTAAAAGCAAACAATACCAAAATACCCCTGTAACCGTGTCTCCTCTCTGAGCTCACCGCTTTCTGCTTGCCAGTTAGTTATGTAACTATATATAATCATTTAAAAAATAAAAAACGTAAATAAATAAATAATTGTGGTGTCAGGGATGCCACGGTTATTATCCCTGGCATCAGGGAATATATATATATATATATATATATATATATATATATATATATATATATATATATATATATGTATATATATATATAATTATATATATATATATATATATATATATATATATATATATATATATATATATATATTCAGAACACGGGAGGTCGATCACATGCCCCTGGTGTTGGTTGTTTAACCCTCTCAGGCTCAAATTACTTGAAAAGACTGTTTAAGTTGTTGCAAATCTGTAACCCCTACCTGGAGAGGGTTAAAAGCAAATTACAGATATGTATTTTTGATGTGCATCATAGCATTAAGTGAACTAAAATGAGGAACTTTTAGAGCACTTCATGCTTTTCTCTATAAAATAGCTTTTTGGAGATGCTGATTTCATTTCACAGCAGAAGTGGTTCATATCCTGGTAAAATGGTAAAGTACCGATCCCAGCTGTGTTCCTCCACACTGAAATTTGCTCCAAACTCTCAAATGGTCTTTTCTTCACACTCCTTTCAGGGATTGGCACTTTTATTAACACATATCCTAACTCTGACAGCAACTGAAAACCCAAAATTTTCTCCTTCACTGTCATCAAAATGAATAATTATAAATACCTGAAATATATGATTGTGGTTTATAAGGAATTTATTCTACACAGACGATACAGTATACTATGTTTTCTTATGGTAAATTCTGTTGATTTCAGCACATTTCCAGACACTTATTGACACGTTTTGACACAAATGCCAAAAGGAACAGAAGCGACCTCTCTTCTTTGACTCCCACATTTGCTGACAGACTAAAAACCTTGTCAACCATGACCTGGTTACCACGGTCACAACAAAAGACTGGTTGCAAATGGGTTATTTGTCAGTACCTGTGGAACTGATGTTCATGTGGGGCAAAAACTGGTAAAATAACAGGCATTGATTTTGCTGAGGTCTGCAATAAAGGGCATATAAAACGAAGGGATGTAGAAAAACAAAAACACCTCAGAAAAGCTCAGGCTTAATCTGTTCTCTTACCTGTGAAGATTAACAGGATCCCAACTGTGACTTGCAGACAAAGAGAGATGGCAATTAGGGTGACGACAGGGGTGTAAAAGGAACTTTTCGCCCCCTGCTGCATCACGGCTTTCAGCTGCGAGGCGTTGGCCATCAGCAGAGCCAAATCCAGCATGCTCTCAGCTGCACTCTTCTTATTGGCATAGTGGTTCATGTTCAGGAGGGGTGGTCCACTGGGCTGAGCATCAGGATGGGTGGCCTAATCAAGAAACCAAAGCAGAAATGACTTGGAAATGATGAATCTGAAAAGAATGCATGGAAATGAATGGAAAAGCAAACACTCATGTTTTGGTCAATCAACAGAGGAAAACTGTGCGGTGATGGGACAAGCAGTAATGCTGCGCTTCCTGTGCATGGACGTCAGGGGATCTGGTTGCTGTTCTGAACTAATTGGAAAAACAAGCAGCCATTACCGAAGAGTGACTCTTAAAAACAGAACCATTAGTGTAGCAAGAAGGGTAAAGCTTGTTCACAAGCATTTTAAGCATCTGAGGATTAAAAAATGAGTTTTACTTCAACATTTCTCCATTTTTCCCTCTTTTTTCTGTCATGTTTTCTTTCTTTTGATCTCTTTTTTTTTTGCCTGTTTCTGTTGCCCTGAGTTGAATGCTTCTGTTTCATAATCTGTTGACTTTACAAATCAAAGCAATGATGACTAATTGTCCTGTGCCTCCAATTAAGATTGTAGCACGAATAGACATATTGACCTTTCACTCATAACCCACTCTAACTGAAAATAATTAGAGTTAACTGCAAGTATGGACTGAATAAAACATGGAATTGTTTCAATGAAAATACATCATTTGTATGGTATAAAAATAAATAATATACAGTGCCATAATGATTCATACCACAAAAAAATGTCCCATACTGACCACAAACTTAATTTGTTTTTGTGAGCATTTTGTGTGATTCTCCAACAGAAATTAATGCAAAATTGTTGAGTGACAGGAAAACAAAACTTGCATGTTGAAACATTAATAAATAAAATTAGAGACAATCTGTCTCATCTGACTAGTTTATAGTAGTCTACAATGCCACAAGCTTTGCTATAAATATCTCAGGGAGCACTGATCAGGCCAGAGAGTTGATTGGAAGATGGATGGAGTTCAATATAGGACAAAGGTGGGCGAAAACCTGCAGGACAACCAACAACCACCCTGAACATACAAACAGAGATATAGAGTCGAAGTCCAGATCTAAATTCAATTAAGAATCTGAGGCAGGGCCAAAAGATTCCTAAAGATGTAATCTGATTTAGTTTGACCTATTCTGAAAAAACAGAATGGGTGAGAGTCAGAAAGATTTGCAGCTGTAAATACAGCAAAAGGTGGTCCGAAATGCCACACTTTTTCAAATACCTGTTTATAAAAAAAGAACCAAAAAAAAAAAAACATGTCTCATCTTCTGTCCACTTCATGATGGTGCACTGTATCATATGAAATATAATATTCTGATATATGTGGTTTCAATGTGACAAATTGTGAAAATGCTTATGGGGTATGAATACTTTTGCCAGGCTCTCATCCTCTCTATGAATGATCAGCATGTATTCTGAGATATGTTAAGTTTCCACTGAATTGATTCTTGTGTGGGCAGTGATTATGTAACAGATGATTAGCTTGGGTTTTGTTGTGAGTCCACTCCATCCTCGTGGACTTTGCACTCTGAAGAAGAAATTGTACAGAGTCAGCAGGCCTGGATTAGCTTGTTTATTAGCTGAAAGCTCAAAAATAGTAAAAATGAACCAGAGTTTCTTGATAGATTTCCAAGAAGGTCCTCTGTTTACCGACATAAGACCCCGATCCAACCACTCTGCAGATTGGAGATTCAATACTGTCAAGGCACAGGCAAGCGCTTTCTCTGGCTTTTCAGTAATTAGCAGCTTCTTCCGGACCGCCAAACCACCCGCCTTCTTATTTCCCATAACAAACCCCGCAGCTGCAGAATGCTCATCTTGTCAGAGATTAGCCAAACCACTGCACTGTTAACAACTATCTTCCCTCTGCTCCAAGGACAAAGAGACAAGAAGAACAGCACCCTCTAATTTGCCAGAGATCAGGCTACAGCTGAATAACAGTGGCTTCAAGATTTTCACAACAATCAGTTTGAATTGGTTGACTTGATGTCTGAGTGGAAACCACAAACTAAGAGGGAGTGGGATTGTTGGCACTTAAGAAAACCTCTTGCTACATTTGTGATCAAGTTTTACCTCTGTCCTTAAATAGGCCATCAGGTTTTATTGTTTTGTCCTTCAAATCATCACTTCACCCACAGAATGCTTCCCTGCATTTAACTGGAAACAGTGGGATGCAGTGTAGAGTCCTGGTTACTGTGAATTTAGGGCAAATGCCACAAACAGCTTGCTGTCGTGATGTGTCAGGGTCAACCATTCTGCTCTAAAACACTGACACAGTCTTTTCAAAGACAGGGCTTTATCCCAGAGTCAACAGACCACAGGGCGATAATACCTGTTGTGAGATCAGAGCCAGGAAAACATGGAGTCAATGTGTCTAAAAGCACTGTGGCAGAGTTTTTTCTCAGAAAATACTAATAAAGCCACGTCCCCATTACCATTTTCTTTTAGTTTTATATTCGGACATTAAAGGCCGAGAGGCATGTTCTCAGGAGCTGCTAGTCAAAAAAAATTTTGTATTTCTCAAAATGATTCTGTCTAACTGAAACCATACTGTGATGAAGAAAGTTTAACAATGTATTGAATAAACATTTCATATTTTGTAATAGAATTCTATCTGTTTTATATTTCTTTTGTTGGCCCTCAATAAGGAACAGCAAGCCCAAATGTACAATCATATGAAAAACTTTATCTTCATGTGTTAGTATGGCCCAGTCAAAGTCTAGTCAAAAATTTGTTGTTTGACAACACTCTTCAAACTTATGTTTTCATAGAAGAATGGGCAAAAACTGAAACTCCACATGTACAGAGTCGTACAGCAATACTTTTACATCCTTATCTAAAAAAATCAGAAAATAGAAAAATATGCATTGTTTTCCTTCTACTTCACTTTGATACAATATTTTGCATTGTTCTTATCCCTAATATCCAACATAAATAACCTTGAAGTTTCACTTCTGATTAAATTAAGCTGTGTAAAGTCATAAATCTGAAAATGAGACAATTATTCAGAGAGCACAATAGTGGGGAATGTTGAAGCATTTAAATTCCAGACAGTGAACCCAAACGCTAAATTTAATGAAACAGCTTCTTCTTTGTTTGTTGAGATCCCACCTAGGTTTTGGCTGACTTCCCCTCAATAGAGCTGAACTCACAAACTTACACTCTTAATCCCAAACTTTTTTACCTTTTCCCATGTTGTCACACAGATTAACACACTCTAACCCAAATACCTGCATGTCGAACTCTGAGAAACTATGCTTCGGGTATTATTCAGTACCACTAAGCTTTGTGCTTGACATGCAAGAACAATATCCATCACTTTAGACACTGTAAGACCCCTGCATTTATTATTTTTAATTGAACCAGCTGCTGAAAGACCAAATTAACCTAATTGTTCTGTTGTGTCTTCCCCTCACTTTTCCCTCATGTATAAGCACTTCTTTGGTTTCCATCCATCATGTTGCGTCAGCAGCGCTCTCTTTGCACTCACCTCAAACTCTGGCCCGTCTCCAGAAGAAGATCGACCCAGCTGTAAATCTAATTTCCATGATTCTCTGTAGGGCTTTTATTTTTACAGCCTCGCACAGAGCAATGCAAACATGGCCTTCTCAAAATGTGGCCCATCCAGCCACTGTAAGAGTAAAATACAAACTTATTTCAGAGCATGCATGAAATGAAAAAAAAAAAGAAGCAGAAAGCATTTTGGGGGGGATAAGACAAAAGCCTTTGTGTCTGCTTGTGATTGGTATTAGATTTCAGTGCAAAACAGTCGCGGATATTAAAAGCCTGTGGAAAGTCCGCATGTCGGATCTCCGCCCCAGAAAACAACCACGGATTTGTTCTTTCTTTCTAGATCAATGCGGGTGGGAGACACATTATAAATGACATCAGTTGTTCATTTTCTCGAACGCAAGGGTATTACATTTTGCATCTGCTGGCTGAGCTCTGAGAGACAGACGGAAGTATCTCTGGCAACCAGGGTCTTCCTCCTGCCTTGTTCCCCAATCAAAAGTGCACAGAGCAACACACACGCAGACACACATCCATATGAAATTAAATTGACCCATAGAGATTGAGTCTGCAAAGATGGCATAGAGAAGTCTGTTTCCCTGCCTTGTAAAATTGGATGCAGCTTTGGACTTCAGTGTATTATTACTTGTCAAATGGACGCTTTAATTGCCTTATAAACCATAAGGCTTACAAACATTTTGTAAGATGCAGTTTTACTATCACGTCCAAGTGTGGCTGGAGGAATCATGGCCTTATGAAGTGAGTATGTGAGTCTTTTTTATGTGTGCATTTAGGTCAGTGAAGTGGTAACAAAGAAGGGTGCTCATTATTTATAAGGTCACTTAGTGTCGCAGTGACCATGAATGTCACTTGAGCTACCATGCTTGCAGATCTCAGTTGAATTGCTTCAGGAATGGACTCATGTAGGTACATGAAAATATACGTACAGCATTGTTATATACTGTAGTTTGCAGTGTTTTAGCTAATATAGTGTATGAAACAAAGTATATTCAATTAATAGAGACCACATGTAGCGGATTCCTTTTCTTTACAATCTAATAACAGAAAGCAAAAGAAGAAAAATTATGGTTAAAAAGGTGAGCTAAAACAAATGCAAGCAAGATTGCATACTGCTGCAATTAATTTAGCCCCATTTTCTCACAATCTAAGCATTTGTTCAGGTCTTTTATATATTTAATTCTTTTCTGCATCATTAAATCTACAGATTCTAACATTGCTTTTGTCTTTATTTTGCAACTGTGCAGTTTGCAAGTAAGACCAACACTTATGTACAACCTGAAAACAAAGCTCAGTGCAGGATAATCTGGGGATCTTTTCTGAGGAAAAATGATTTCAGATATCTTACCTCGGCTCCACTTCCCCTGCTGCTGTTGTCGTTCATCATGTTCCAGCAAGCAAGCTGCTGCAAACTGAACTGTAAACTATCCCGTTAAAAGAGAGAGGAGGACCGTACCTGCAACCATATCCTTGGCAGGGCAACATCTACGCATTTAGTTTTACTGATATAGTGACACAGCATCGTAAATTTGTGTAAACCCTCCACAACAGTCTGTCTCTCTGATAGGCGTAGGAAGTCATTCACAACTATTAGCCTTTTGCAACAAACCCATGTGAAGATATAATCATATCTGCCTACTAAACTGGCAAATGTTAGAACCATAAGAAACTTGTGCTAAAAGCACACACAATATTATTTTTCAATGATCAAAAATATAGGTTAATAAAAAAAAAAAAAAACATCAAGTGCAATGCTTTGGAAAGTATTCACAGCCCTACCACTAGGTGAACTCTTTTTACTAAGTCATCAGATGACAATGATTAGATTAGATCTTCATCAGAGATCTACTATTTTGACACACAGTTGCCTGAGGTTTGTAATGCAACCAATATAAGAGCGCCATTTATTTTCCTTGATTCTGAATTGTTGCCCCAATTTAGTTATACTTCAAAAAGTATAGTTATAAGCAAGAAAAAGGACTGGCAATTTCATAGTTGCTTGATCTTTTGTCTTATGATGTCACTGCAGACACACGTGAGTCAAAATCTGGCTTTAACTTTACTAATGCTGCTTTTCAACAAAGCAACGAAACAAACAGGAAAACTGACCATCACGTTTGGTCCAATAAGTTGATAAATTATAGTGAGCTTGATAAGTTCATAAAAAAGTCTGTCTAGAAGCTTTTAATGACAACTGCTGTCATTAAATTCACATTTTGTGTCTGAACTCTCACGCAGTTCTTTAACAAACAAAATCTGTAGTTTTGGGCTGTTTGTGTGTGTGTGTGTGTGTGTGTGTGTGTGTGTGTGTGTGTGTGTGTGTGTGTGTTGTGTGTGTGTGTGTGTGTGTGTGCGTGTGTGTGTGTGTGCGTGTGTGTGTGTGCTTACTTTCTGCCTTTATAGCGCTTAAACCCTTCTATTATATTGAGAAATAATTATATTTATGATGTTGCGGGTCATTTTGACCCGTATTGTGTGATTCGTCTGAAAACAGTCAAAAATGAAGTCAAACCAGTCAGAACTTTATTTTAGATTAAGTGCACACTTATGAGAGATGAGAAGAACAGATACACAACTTGAAAACTATATCATTGAACTGTAACATGGGGTCCAGGATTATAGAATAAAGGCAGGATTTCGACCTATTTATTCCAGACATCTCTGATTGCTGCAAGTTTGTCTCTCCCGCGTCGACCAGCTCTGGTGTCACGGTTGTCAAATCGTATGACACAAGAGATCATGTGAAATGTCTCCAAAGACATTGTGTTAGGAAAATTATTATCTTAGTTCATTTACTTTTATATTGAATGGTTATGTTTTCATATTATTCCGTGTGTTGTTTTCTTTCCCTTTCCTTTATTGTATATTCTTAACTGGCTTTTAGGGTTTTCTCTTGAGGGTTGGAGATGTCTCACACATTTCTGTGTTAACGAGCCACGATGATCTTTATCTGTATCCTGAGAGTGGTCATCATTGGGACAATGGGACATCAATGGAAGACTCCCAGAACATCCTGTAGTATAGGATGTTCTGGGAGTCAATTGTTTGCATGTCAATTGGTCAATTGTTTGCATGTCTGAGTGAGAAAGTCAACCTCTTTGTGTATTCACATAATAAAAGGCAGTTGGGGACTTGTTGGACCAGGAGTCATTTTAATGACATTAGAAGATGACAATCTGCCTTGGCTTTGGTGTGGTGATGATGACCATCTTATCTTACCATCTTCCCCATCTTACCATCCTCGTCCCCTTTGTGGACGAGGATTGTTGCGTTTCTTGATTTTCATCTGATGAAGAATCGTCCTCTGAATCCTCCTCATCTTGGAAAAAATGACAATCTGGATCATCAATGGCATCTTCCGTTTCGAAATTTCTTCGACATCGCTATCCCAATTCAAAATCTTCAATGAAGCTTCTTCAGCTGTAAATCTTCTGGAGCTCATTTTGGGTGTATCTCTCAAAGAAAGGGCATGTAAAAGTGACAAGGAGAGGGAAGAGAAAGTCCCTGCTCCACACACACCTGGCTCTCAATAGCTTTTCTGAGGCAATCAAAACCAATCACATCAAAGAGGCATGTTTTTTTTTTTTTTTTTTTTTTTTGTATTTTAAACGGCTACTTTATGTCTGGGTCAAAATGACCCACAACATCATCTTTGTACACAAATTGTGTGCAGACACTTCTCAACACATCAAAGACTCCAGATTTTACTCAGAAGTTCATGACCCTAGATGAGGAAAAGTCACAAAATGTCATGGAAAAAAATAAGAATAACCTGCACTTTGGTCAACTTAAAAATCGAAACGGGTCAAATTGGCCCGATCATAACAAAAGTGTTTTAATTCGCTTTTATACAAATGAGATAGGCTTGCATCGCGTTATAACTGGTGTTTCAAATTCAAAATGAATTTCACTGTCCCCCAGCCAACCAGTCGTTGTCTTTTCTTGTTAAATTCGTGTCTGTCTCTGCTGGAAGGTGCAACAATGTGATGAGTCGGCTGTCTCTCTGGTAGCCCCGGCGTGCTGCGTGATTGGACCGTCCCTGCGGTCGTTACAAGGGGCGTGGAGCCAAGCAAAGTGAATGGGAAACACATTTTCACTGCCTCAGCAGCGCACGAACCCAACGTTGAGCAGAGGCGACGACAAGGGAATACAGTTGCGTGCTGCAATTACCTGGCGGGGAGATTACAGAAGAGCTGAAAAAGATCCCGCGGCGCGAACCGAGCCGCGTGTTAATTCGCCCACAGCCTCAGCGTGCGGCAGTTACTGACAAACAGTCGGTCGGGGAGCTCTGCTAATATTAAAGGATGCGAGGACTTGTCGTTTGATAAATACATCACATTCGTCATTCTTCCACCCTCGGCAGTGGGGAGGGAATGTGCTGCCCGGACTGACTCAGGATTTGCTGGCGTTTACGGTGTTTGACTCCCGTGCGTGAAAATGGGCTTAATATTGAGATAGGGCGTTCAGAAAGTCCACCCTCTTCGTCGCCGTGGACAGCCGGCTAACGTTAGCGAGGTTTTTTTTTCTTCCCAACTGCGGACCTGACAGGTTCGGTTCGGACTGCTGTGTAAGGTGTCGTCCCGGCGCTGCGTTTGCCTTTCAGCGTTTTCTTTTCCTTCTTGAAGAGGTAAGCTGTTTGGTTTTCGTGTATACATTTGCTCGTGTTGGTTCACAGGGTTCGTTTGATGCGTGGGGTGAGTGTATTCAGCGCGTGTGAACGGTTAGCTTCGTTAAACTGAAGTTGCAGCTTGCTAGTTTCTGCTGCACCTGAACGAAGATGGCCTCTGCAAACAATACGGTTTTGTTGAAATAATTTGCTTCTATTTTGAGTCACACCTGCAGACTTTGTCTCGAGGTTTTTTTTTTGTTTGTTTGTTTGTTTTTTTTTTTAGCTAAAATGCAGGAGATGGGTTAATTTTATTCAGTTGGTTTATATGTATGTTGTGTTTTTACTTCACTAAGTGTCAGTATTTCTTTTGCAGCTCTTTATCTGATGAAATCTCGCCTGTGTCATCCATCCCAGCGCTGTTTAGGGCCTCTGCTGACAAACTGCGTCACCGGGTGGGCGCTGCAGGTATTCATCTGCAAAAAAAAAAAAAAAGATCTGCATTTGGAAATTGAAGCCATGCCTGGAAGAACCTGGAAACCAAAGTGACTGAACTTTTTAAGTCACCATGGAGCCAGAGGCTAGCTGTGGGACTCTCCCAGAGTCCAAGCATTCATCTGTACCCAATTCTCAATGTAATCTCGCCATAAATATGCATGGGCCCATGGGTGATTCAAATGTGAATCTTGTGGACTCTCTAGTGAGAGGTGGAAGTGATCCTTCTTCTGTTTACCAGAGGAATGGGCATCAGAGATTCATCAGGAGAAGTCTGTGGTTTTCAGACACGGATGAGCAATCCTACGAAGCCCCTGAAACTGAAAACCGGAGCAAAATCCTGAACATAAACTTGAGATCAATTGTGGACAGGACACGAGGGACGAGCTGTGGGATTCAAGAGAGCTCCAGCACTGAAAGCCAGTGTGGGCAAAAAGACAGTGCAACAGAGAGCACCAGTGCGGATGAGGACAAGGAGAGAGTTGGACATGCTTTGAATGTTACTTGCAGTGATGGTGGTAAAGTTGCTACTAAGGCAGTGAGTGAGGAAAATGAAGAGGAAGCAGAGATGAAAGCGGTCTCCACATCTCCAGGAGGAAGGTTCCTTAAATTTGACATCGAGCTCGGGAGAGGGTCTTTCAAAACGGTCTACAAAGGCCTGGATACCGACACCTGGGTGGAGGTGGCCTGGTGTGAGCTGCAGGTAAAGCAACACAAATGTTCATTTCATTCATATGTTCTGTATGTCTTGTTAAGAATGTAAAAAAACAGGTCTTTAATTTTAGAAAGTTTTAGTTTCTCTATATTTGAACTTTTTACAGGTCTTCACAGGTTTCTTAACTTAGAAAAGTTGAATCAAGTATTTTCCTGAACTAGTTAAATTTGGGTAAAAAAAAACAGGAAAATATTCATATCCATCCATATATCAATCAACAAATTTTGAAAATTCCAGTACGAAAACGTTTCTGATTTTGATAGTTTTGAAATATTTTTCTGTCTGCAGTGGGAGTTTTCCCTATTGAATGGCACCTCCATTCATCCATTAAAGCATCTTCTAAATCGTATTAGGCTTAAACATGTGATGTGCTTATAGGCTGGAAGTGGTGGGATTTTTTTAAAAATTAGATTTTATATATCTAAGAATTTGGAAAAAGAAATCGGGATGTTTTTTTTTTTTTTTACAACATAATTTGCTGATCAGAGGTAACAGAGCGAAAAATTCTTAATTGTTTTTCTACTTTATTTGCTTATTTACTTTGTTCATCATACTAAACAGAACTATATTA